TTTTTTTTTTAATTTTTTTTTGCGAAAAAAGATGAATCTTGGAGCGAATCACATGTCTTTTAGTACACCAAGTGTTTCTTGGAAGTCCGTCGATGGAGTTTCCGACCAATTTCCGGCGGGTCTGAGGGTTCTTGTCGTGGACGATGACCCAACTTGTCTGAGGATCTTGGAGAAGATGCTTAAAAATTGTCTATATGAAGGTAATTTTAATTCAATCGAAGTATCTTAAACGCTAACCTACTGTTCCAGAGTTTAATTCTCATGAGCAATTTGTTTCCTTTCATAATTAAGTTCGACCTTGTATGCTCTTTTGTTGGCTTGTTTTTCGAATAGATGTGGATAGCCAACAGATCTTAATCTCAAGATATCTTGTGTAGGATATCTTCTTGTGTATGTTTGTGTGTTACTGTTTTCTCTAGAGTATAGACTAGGGCTTTAGGGTGAGAATTTAGGTTTTCAACTCAATTGTGTGATTTGACCCGATTCCCAAGATTAAGTTTTTGAAGTTTATATCAAAATCTTGGCGACTTGCAAATCAAATTTAGTGGTGTGTTTGGTTTTGTGGAATTTTCTTTGTTTTTTTATCAGTAACCAAATGCGGTCGAGCTGAGATTGCGTTGGAGTTGCTTAGGGAAAACAAAGTTGGGTTCGACATTGTTATAAGTGATGTACACATGCCGGATATGGATGGTTTCAAACTTCTCGAGCATGTTGGACTGGAAATGGACTTGCCGGTCATCAGTAAGTGCTAATTTCTTTAATTTTGATTATTATCGAGATTTTGTTTTCACGACATTATCCTTATAGGCAGAAACTATCCCTGTTTTTCAGCCTGAAATAGGACACTCTAACTATATCTTAATTAATATGCCTTCCATGTTTGAATAATGTCTTGCTTTGCAATTTGTGTATGTGATTGTAAATTCTGAAACAATAAATGTGTTTCTCTACAATCAAGGCAAAACCTTGAAGGACAAGACATTCTAGCTAAGACATTTCTCTATTTTCTTTTCCTTATCTTTTATAAAATATATGAATAGATTTGCTAATCCCTTTGCTTTTGGTTTTTGCTTAGTGATGTCGGCAGATGATAGCAAAAATGTGGTGATGAAAGGAGTGACTCACGGCGCATGTGACTATCTCATAAAACCGGTCCGCATGGAAGCTCTGAAAAACATATGGCAGCACGTGATCCGTAAAAAGAAGTACGAATGGAAAGAAAAGGAACAAGAACAATCGGGAAGTGTGGAGGACAGCGAAAGACAGCCGAAACCGGAAGACTTGGATTACTCGTCCTCGGCGAATGAGGGGAATAATTGGAAAAGCTCCAAGAAAAGGAAGGACGATGATGATGAAGGTGACGAGAGGGACGACACATCTACTCTCAAGAAGCCAAGGGTCGTTTGGTCGGTCGAGCTACACCAGCAATTTGTGACGGCCGTCAATCAGCTGGGGATAGACAGTACGTTTCTCTTTTGCCCATTTCCTTTTTCAGTTTTCATATTGGATTTGGATGGAGGGTGACAGATTTTATTCAGTTTACTCATACATAGAGATGCTATGCATTTATGGAAGTAATAACGATCAAGTTACGGTACATTTTTTGAGGTTTTTATAGAATTATGCCTTGCGTCGTTTTGTATTATAATTAGAGCACACTGTTTTGTTCATACGACCATATTTGTAACATTGTGCCATATATACATTTGATTCGATTCTTTTCTCTGTCTTCCCGTCAATGTATTTTTATGGGAATAATTTATTTGTTGAGTGCAGAGGCCGTCCCCAAGAAAATCCTGGAATTGATGAGCATTCCGGGCCTCACAAGAGAGAATGTCGCAAGCCACCTACAGGTTAGACAAAAAGTTTGCTTTATTTTCTTTGAATTATAGATCCATTTTCTGGTCATTTGTGTTCGCACATCTCCCATTTTCTTCTCAACTTTGGTATTAACTGTGTCAGAAGTATCGTCTTTACCTCAAAAGGCTGAGTGGACAGCATCATAACGGGCTGGGGAATCCATTCATGGGCCCCACAGACCCATCATTCGGCCCCATGACCCCTCTCAGCAGCTTTGAATTCCCACCACAGAGCCTGGCCACAATCCAGGCGGCCTCCGCCAACAGGTTCCCCTTATCCGTCGACCAAAGAAACATTTTCAGCTTCGAGAAACCGAGAATCAACCAAACCCACACCCGGCCCTCGAGTTTACTTCACGGGGTCCCCACCACCATGGACTCAAGACAGCTGGCGGCCTTTGCGAACGTGAATTTACCGACACACCCCCAGCCGAGGACCCAAATACTGAACCGGCCCGTTTTCTCGCACGCCACTGCCAACGGAGTCAACAATGTCCGTGGTCAACCACATCAGTCCATCCAGCCGTCTAATGTGGTTGACTTTTCAAGAAGCTTACGCCCAGATTTAGCAGTCAATACTAATAATAATACTGCTGCGAATAACAATAACAGCAGTAGCTTTTTGCTTGTTGGCGACGCGGGTTCGGGCACGCCGAGTTTCAATGCGTTTGCCAATCTTAATCAGAGCCAGGCGATGGCCGATGAGTGGAGCTTGTCGGGCTTTGATGGGCCTCAGCATGCGGGTACACAAGCCCGGATCAATGTTGGGCCGTCAGTTTTAATTCAGCCAGGCTCGTCGAGCGGACAGAGTAGGGTCCCATCTGTTGTTAATAGGGTAGCCTCCGAGGGCCCAAGCGGTGGCCATAATACAAATATTGGCCAGCAGGTTACTTCATCAGCAGCTGATAATTCGTCCCAGATTAAACCTGGGAGGCTGTCCAACGTGGGTTTTCAGAATGGCCTGTTCTCAGATCAGCTTGGCCAGGAGGATCTCATGAGTGCACTTTTCAGGCAGGTTAGTGTTGTGTAATTTTCTTACCGTTAACTGAAAGTGCCCCAAACTGGCTATGGTTGTAAGTTACTCATTGCTCAAATATTTGATTTGTGCGTTCGTCAAATTATTTGAACATTTGTATCCGTGTTCGGATATAAATTAAATTCCCCTATTGATTCGTGTTCAATTCGAATAAAGTATCGGAAAGTATTCGGTTCGATACGGTATTCGGATGTGGAATTTCATTAAAAAAAATCTTTTATATTTAGAAATAAAATCTGTTTATAGAGAATAATACATCTATTTATATAACTATTTATGAATAAATTAAACCATAAATATAAATATTATACTATTAAACTAAAAGAATATCTAAATATTGTGTCATAATATAATATATTATATACTTAGCAAAATGTAAAATGTATAATTATTAATTGACTCGGGTATTTTACTAGTATGAATCGAATACTTCTATATCTGTATTCATATTTGTTTTTACATGTATACAATATATTATTCGTTTGTGAATTCGATTCAACAAATAAGAACCAGGCCAGTTATTCTTTGTGTTCGATTTCAATGAATACGAATCAACGAATCAAGTAAAATATATATTTTTTCCTTTTGCCACCCTATCCCTGATATTTAATCTAATTTTTGAAAACCCAAGTTTCCTTTTGATTTTACAGATGCTAATATCTTGTTGATATAATGCAAGACCAGAAATAGTTCCTTTACTTTCATACTGCAACTACATAAAACAGCCTTGAGTTTTAAGTTTAATAACATTTATATCCTAGAATTTTTCAAAATTACCTTAGTCTTTTGATGTTTACTCTTTAACGAGTATGATTAGATATAAGTTTACAAAATTATACATAGCCGCCTGATAAATCCTTTTACATTTTCTTGATTATGGCAGCCAGAAGGAATGACACCAGGTGAAAGCGATTTCGGGTTTGAAGGATACAACTTGGATAATCTTCCTGTATAATTATATATTCTTTAGACCCTTTCCTGTGTACATATTTGCAGCTACAGATGAAGTTTTGGCCCACTTATTATGTGTATTTATTTTCATTTAGTTCTTGTTCTATTTTGTTTTATTATTTTTTCTTTTTCCTTTTCATTGCCTCAAGAAGTAGTGTCTTGGAAAAATATGCCTTTGATTCTTTTGAATGTGAGAGGAAAAACAGAGGACATCATTCGGATTTCTTTTACAATTTGGGACGAAATCTCATGGCGTGATGCGCAAAGCGTACGAGCCTTGCGTACGAGCCTTTTCTAGGATTAGTGAGTTATTTACGGCATGAAAACTGGTCTAGTCCAAGATTGTCGGATTTTTTTATTTTTTTTTTTATTGTTCAATTTGAGCTATATGAGGCTGCCTGCCATGGGTGCAGTGCTGACCTCAAGTCGTGTCTTCATTCAAATAATTGTTTCTTGTCCTTTTGCAGTACAGATATTTGATTTTGCAAAGATTACAGTAGTGTTAATATTGTTCTTTCTTATGTTTTTTCTCCTGTTTTTGATGCCTTGTCCAAACAGAAGGTTTCAAACAACAAATGTCAAGAATCTTAACCTTTACGAAGGGTTTTGCTTGCATGCCCGACCCGTCCAGTGAACATCCTAGCGATCGGTTGAGGCCGGTCCCTTCAAAGGTTATAACTAACTTTTGGAAAATTTTTATCTATCTTACAAGATTTAGATTTATTTACGATTTTGCAACTACTATAAATTTAATTGCATATGTATCTAATCTATTGAATTAACTGGAGATTGATTTACTTGATTTTAGTTGCCATACAAAAAAACGTTGACTTATAAGAGAGAGAAATGAAAATAATTAACTTTTTCATTTAATTCCTTAATTCGTGCAACTAGAATTCTTTAATTCACGCAACTGGAATTCTTTAATTCATGCAGCTGTCAGGTGGTATATATTGCGTTTATGTAAGTATATATTCAATATATGTGAGCAACTGGAATTCCTTAACTCCCGTATATTACACGGGTGGCTAGCTAATTTTTTTTTCTTTAAATCTAAAATTAATGAGAAAAAATAGTTAAAAATTTAAATAGCTTTTAGAAAAAAATATATTATTATATATTTAGTATGACACTTTTTATTTGTGATCTTACATGTGTTATATTATAATAATTTTTTTTTTAACTTACAACATATAACTACATTAAACATAAATATATCAATTGAAAAATAATTTTATTTTTCTAACGAATTTTAATAAATATAATTATTTTAGATTATTATAAATATAAATATAATTTATTTATTTCAATATATACAATATGGATGTCAAATCGAAGATCATCAAAGGATGATTAATTTGATATATTATATATGTAAAACCGATAAGAAATACAAAAGTTATCAACTTTTAAAATACATTTACAATTCAATAGCTAATTGAAGGAAACAAATCAAAAGTCAGGGATATATTAGTCACTTAGTGTCTCACAATGTAAAATTACAAGAAACTAAAGGGTTATATTAGTACAAGTGATCTTAAAATATCTAAGTTAGCTAAATAATTTTATGGAATGTCCAAACCTAGATTATTAATTATTAATATATCAATATTATTTGTCCAAACTTAATTACGAAGCATGATTCTTCGCCAAGTAGGATTTCGAAGCACCAGAAGCAGCCACGTAGGCTCAGCGCATTCGGGAATTATATATAGAGAGGATATATTCAGTATATGTTGTAATGAAAAAAAAAAATGTCTTCCATCAAAATATATGTAGTTTAAAAAACAGTATATAACATATTACTTCATATAAAACCATACATATACACAATACCAACAATAAAATCCAGTTTATGCTAAATATAAATAGATTTTATACATAATGTCTCGCGATAAATTTCTTTATCATGTACAAAAAATATACTGAATATCAACCATACGTATGATAAAAAAATAAAAATAAAAAATCACCAGTTTATGCTTTGTGAATATAAACTATACATACATATAAGGTAGCCCTTATAATATACGGAACATATACCTCATATATACACAACATATACCTGCAACTTATACAAAATGAAAACTATCTATCTACGAATCAAGCACATGAACATGACTAGCTTTTTAGGTGAAATAAGTAGCTTATGTTGCTCTAGACGATTTTTTTTCTTTTTTTCTAATGCTTATTGCATCTTTTGAAATTGGGAACTAGGATACGATGAACATGTTGTATTCTTTGAATATTAGCTACTTGAATGCCTGCTAAACTGAAAATAACCATAAGCAGAAAAACATATTCCATCTCTTTGCACGAACTATAAAAAAAAATCTCACATTGAAATCCTCGTGTTACCCATCCTGCATTTCAAGCACTCTCCAGCCACAAGTCAAAGAAAAAAAAAACAAAAAAAAGGGTAAATAGGTTTAGAAAAAAAAATAAAATAAAGAAACCGACAAAACATGGTTGTTTCGATGTCGGTGGCGCAAAACAAACTCCCAGAATTTGCTCGCTTAACGACGTGAATGGTTGGGTCCGCTCGCTGCTTGAGGGTCGTCGGAGGCGCGCAGATGGACGGTGACTGATGGGGCTGCTGTTGCTCGAAATCACCGCCAGTTCTTGCTGCTGCTTAATGATTATCGACGAAGGATGGCATCGAGAACAGCTGCTCAGTCTCTCTCATTCCCGTCACTGCGATGGTGAGATTTTGAGAGAATATGAAATCCTCTTCTGTGATTTCTTTGATCGCTCGGCTGATAAACCGGAGAAGGAAAATCTGATATGATTGTGGCTTAAAGGGAACTTAGTTTCTTCCTTTTTTATTTTTTATTTTTTTTTCGAAACGACAGGGATAACTATTAATAAACAAAGGAAATACAATGTTCAAATACAAGATACAACCCCGATAAAGAGAAACATGAGAGACACGTCAAAGACGGTCTAAAGCCTCAACTAAAACACGCAAAGCCTGAAGTAAACCACAAGACTAAAACAAAGGGAAAATCATTCCAACCACTGCATAAGCCTAGCCAGAAGAACTAATCCCAAAGGCAACAAAACAAAAACCACGAGCAAGAAAAAACATACCAAAAACAAGCTAAACTAAGACACTGCAGAAATAAACTCCAGCCAGTCCAAATGGGCCATCTTAACAAGAACATGCTCAGGGATCATGTTCTTTTGAAAAATCCAGATATTCCTGGACTTCCAAAGGCACCAAAGCATATAGGTAGGTAATTGAATGCGTGCTTCAGCCACTTCAGAAGACTCCAGCAGACAAAGTTGATACCACCAGTCTGGAAAATGATCTGACCTTCCCTTGATGCCATCCCACTGAACTGGACAGATGTCCCAGCATTTTCTGGCACTTGCACAATTTAAGAGCAGATGTTCTAAAGTTTCTGGCCCTTCCCCACACATAGCACAGGTTGTGTCCAAAACCAACCCTCTTTTCAATAGTTGCACAGCCACTGGGATGGAATTGTTCAGGCATTTCCAAAGAAAGAATTTGATCTTACCTGCAATCTTGAGTTTCCAAAATCTGAGTTTTGTTCCTTGCTTGATTGTAGCTGCATTACTGCTTTCAGGTGGATCCTCTTTCAAGAGTTTTGACAAAGACAGGTGCTTGTAGGTACTGGAAACAGTAAATGTGCCTTTCTTTTCCAACCCCCAGAGGATTCTATCACTCCTGTTAGCATTAAGAGTATTGATTTTCAGGATTGCTTTGCTATCATTCTCATCAAACACTTGATTCACCAGCCACTCATTCCATTGATTGCCACAGGTGTGAAGCAAGTCCTTAACCCATACCAGATGACCTTTAGCAATGGGGATTAAGGAGGGTGCTGGCTTTAAAAGCTTAGGGACCCAATTAAGATATTTAATTCTGGTATCAAGACCATTCCTTATTTCAATTCTCATCCACTTAGCAAAAATAGGCATAGTGTCCATCCAACTGTTCCACATCCAACTACCCCCTTGGGTTTTCTGAGCATGAACAATGGAGAAATGTGGGAAATACCTGTCCCTAAGAAGTTTGCTCACAAGAAGATCAGGGTTGGTTGCCACTCTCCATAGCTGCTTACATATCATAGCTTTGTTGAATAATTGCAGATCAAGGAATCCCAGACCTCCATGCTGCTTTGGAAGTGATAACCAACTCTATTTTTTTCAATGAATTCCCTGAGATTGTTCTGAATTAGTCTTCCACCAAAACTGAGCACATAGCCTAGAAATTTCAGAGCATGTATAGTGACTGGAATCTTGAAGCAGGACATTGAGAAAATAGGGAGTGCTTGAATGACAGCCTTGAGCAAAACCTCTTTCTCAGCCGTGCTAAGAAATTTTGATTTCCAACTTTCAAGCTTATTCTTGACTGAAATGAGGAGATAATTGAAAACTTCCCTTTTAGTCCTGCCAATTCCCAGAGGGAGACCAAGATATCTAGTCGATCTGTGGGGAGTGATGCCATTCAGAACAGAACAGATTGAAGCTCTGATGTGCTGAGGAGTATTCTTACTGAAAAAAATAGCAGATTTCTGCAAATTAATGGCCTGCCCAGAAAAAAGCATGTAGTGCTCCAATAGGTTCAGAAGAATAGTAGCCTGATCTGTCCCTGCTTTGCAAAAAAATAAGGAATCGTCTGCAAACAACAAGTGAGAAAGCATTGGACCATTTCTGGAAAATTTTATTCCCTTCAGCATACCAATATTCAGAGAGTTCACCACCAACGCAGATAAGAGTTCAGCAACAATTATAAAAAGGTAAGGGGACAGAGGGTCCCCTTGCCTAATGCCTCTGGATGGTGTCACATAGCCACTGAGAGAACCATTGATTTTAAAAGAGAATGAGGTTGAAGAGACACAGAACAATATAAGCTTCACAAAGTCCAAATGAAAACCCATTTGCAGCATTATCTTTTTCAAGCATATCCATTCAACTCGATCGAAGGCCTTTATTAAATCAAGTTTGAGGGCCATAAAATGGTTTGGTCCAGAGGAG